TCTATTTTATCTATCCATTCAAGAAATTGTTCAGATTTTAATTTTCCTTCAAATTCATTGACGTCAAGTTTAATCTCGTGATCTCACTGTCTATTGTTCTATTTGGTTTTGTGGTGCTTCGACATTTTCGTTGTTTTGGGTATTGGCATTGTTTAGATTTAATGCAGTTAGAGTAATAGCCATTACTTCCATTTATTGTTTTAAGTTAGCCATTTGTTGCATTATCATATGTTGTCAATCTGCTTGTTGATTATTTTGATTATTCATTATTTTGTTTAAAATAGAGTCTTACAACCTAAGTCTTTGATATCAAATTGATGCAATCTAAGTTCCTAAACTTTTTAGAAGAACACTTAGGCACGCAATTAAGAAACTTCCTTTCAATAACACAAACAAATACAAACTGAGAATTAGAAACTATTTAGAAAAATCATGTAGGAAAGAAAGATACAAAACACATAAGCAAAAGCAACCCTCAGATCAACCACGACTAGTCACCTCACATGCAATTCACAAAACTAGGGAAATGTGCTCAAAGAAAAGATCTAACTAATAATCCACCACTGAAATTTTGATCCGACACAAGTCTACACAGGCAAATACCAATAAAACAGGATAACAACACCACCTCACAACTCATAATATTTAGAGAAGAAATATACAAGTGAAAGGGAAACTGTAAAGAGAAGAAGTAGAAAGAAGATCGAGAGGAAGTATTAAGATATAAGGGAAAGACTAGCTCGCAAGCCACGAAGAACCCTTGGGTTGAATTTTTCTTCTCCAAAAACTGTCCTCAACAAGAAAATTTCAGCCACCTTATATAGGAGGGAAAAGGGGCATTTAATTGTTCAATTAAATGAGTCAACATTTCAGCCAATAAAAACAAACAAAATCAACTCTTAAAGAAGAAGCCGAAGCATCAAGCACTGGAATTAGCAAAAGGGGGAAATCGAACAGTCAAAGAGGGAGATGAGAGGAATCCCAAGCAGACAAATTAGCAAGGGGGAAGAACCGAACAATCAATGGATACAATGATACACGAGCATGTAGGCTTATGATTAAGGAGTGTCAAAATTTTCTACAAAAAGACATTCCAATTCAACACAAGCCGGAGTTAATGCTCAAAATTAGCCGAAGTTAATGATCAGATTATTAGGTTATTAGTTTTGCAGCCATAGAGAAATCTAAGGTTACTTTTGAGGTGATTCAACAGATGATAATTTAAGCCTTGTTTGCTTTAGGGTATCTACTATCTTCATCATGGTTTGTGGATTTTGGTGCTTTTGATCATATGATTGGCACTTCAATCTACATCATGGAGATATTAATCATACATTTATAGATCTTCTTATATCTATTAAGGTCTCCACTAATTTCATCTCGATAGGGAAATTGATCTATAATAATTTTGATATGTAGTTTTCTCGTAATGGTTGTACTATTTAGGATCAAGAAATGGGAAGATAAGTGTTGACCTCCACTCAAGCAGCCCAAAGAAAACAAAAAATAAAAATAAAATGTCTGCTAAATCATTACATACATGTCGATATCTAGCGCCCATACACTGTTCTCTGCCAAGATCCTGCCAGTCTCATCTCTGTAAACATCGCCGAACCATCTCGTCTCCCGCATGCTAAAATCCCTCCCATTCGCGTCGTTAAAATGGGACAAGAGCAAAGCTTCTCGACTGCTCTTTCCCACACACGACCGAACTCCCTCCTGTTTGCAAGTCTACCACCTCTTGCTCTTACTCTACCCGAACTCATCTGACCCAACGATCCTCTACCCCTACACTAGCCGTGAATCTTTCTCTTCCCTCTGCCTCTCTTGACCACGTTCCCTCTTGTCAGATCGGGAGATACGACATCTTGATCGGAAGAAACAGTGGGAGCTCACTGGTTGTGAAGGAAACTTTCTCCCTCACGCATTCTTCTTTGGCCAAATCCCACAAGCCTTGCCTGACCCCCCTTTGTTTCTCCGGCCCATAGAGAGAGAGAGAGAGAGAGAGACAGAGACAGAGAGAGAGAGAGAGAGAGAGAGAACCTACCTGTACCGAACCGATTTCGCCTCCTTCAACGACCTTCTCTTCTTGTTCGATCCAAAGTATTGACAGGATCTCGCTATGAAGGTAATTTTCTTCCGTTCCGAACCGACTTCACCTCCTTCAACAACCTTCCCTTCTTGTCCGATCGAAAGTAGCGACAGGATCTCGCTGTGAAGGTAATTTTCTTCCTTTCGTTCGCTTCTTCGGCCAGGTCCTGTAAATCCATTCATCCACATAGAGGGGAGATGGAAGTTTAGTGCTTTGTGAGATTTAACTATTCCCTGCATCATGTTTGATAGGATTTCACCTGAACCCTGCTTAAACCCTGTTGTTTGAACAGGATTTAGTTTGAATATTGCTGTTTAAACACAGTTTAGCCCAAATCCTGTGTAGATCCTGTAGCCCATCAATCCTCTATTAGGTAAGATGGATTCAAATTTGTTCCCTTAGATAAACATTCATCCCATGTCTACAAGATCCCCTTGGACGAAGCAACCCATGGTTGCTGACAAGAATCTTTCTGTCGGGTTGGGTCGACTACCTCCTCTGACTAAGTAGACTAGGGACCACGATGGCCCAGGACGATGGTACCATAGGATCTTGATCGGGTCCATCATCCGTTCCCCTACCATCCGCTTTATGTGAAAGATGGTAAAATTTTCATTTTTAAATATCAATTCTCAAACCCTTACCTAAGCTCGTGCTGCTACTATATACTAGATATTGTGTATTTCTACGTATCGGATTGACGATTAGTCTTAATCGAAAGTTCTCTCTCGTGATCGGGAGGGGTAATTAACTATAGGGTCTTGCGCCTATAAGAAACCAGAACTCAGATCATAAAGTCCTCATAAAATGAGGGCGAAATCTCTGGGTAGTGTCTTATCTACAAACCCATCTGCTTTCCAAAATTATCCCGGAACTTAATCCGTTAAAATTCCTCATGAAGAAATAACAAAGCGGGCGGAGTTCGGGGCCAAATTTTCGGAGCCTACAATGAGGGGTGTCAAAATGGGTCAATGGTCAGTTTTAGGTTCGATCCAAAATTGACCCAACTCAAATCCGGTCAACTTGACTTGTTTAATAAACAAGTCAAACAAATGTGGACCCGAACTTGACTCATGCATTTAAAACTATATGTAAACTAACGAAGAGAGAGCCTTTCTTGTTTGATAATATGGTAGTCGTGCTGGAAATTATTTTGTTTTGATTCATAGTGATTTATTAGGCATCACTTATGTTATATCAAACGCAAATTATAATAATTGTGTAACATTCATTAGCTATTATATTAAGTTTACATGGATTTGCTTTCTTCATCACAATTATGAAGTATGCACTATTTTTCAAAATTTTGTTACTTATATTGAAACTTAATTTTCATCTGTTATCAAAATATTGATATCTAATTCAAGAGGTGAACATATGTTACTTGAATTTCAAGATTTTCTTTAAAATATGGTAATACTTTCTCTGAGATTGTGCCCTTATTTACCTCAACAAAATGAATATAAAAATTACCATCTCTTAGATATGGTTGGAACTTTATTATTGGAATCTTCAGTTGCGCTTAAATTCTCAATTGAAACATTGAAAACAGTAATTTGCCTAATTAATCGATTTGCAACTTACATCTTAAGAGTTTGACTGTCCTTATTATTGTCTGTTTAAGAAACATCCTAACTACAATGAGTTGCATACGTTCAGTTTTTGTTTTGTCCAATTGCCACTATATAAACGTCATAAACTTTTCGTTCATTTTATTAAATGTGCTTGTATGAGATATAAAACTTCCAATAAAGACCATCTATGATCCAGGCTCCAAAAAGTCTCAAATCTGTCACCATGTTGTATTCTTTGACCATCAGTTTTTCTTCTATTTCAGTGTTTAGCCTTGGAAATTTTATATCCTTCCTAATTTTTATGTAAACTCCTAGTCTATAAGCATTCTGAAGTGATATACATTAATGATGAAATCAATTATAATTAGAAGCATGCATAAATAATTACTATAATTGTGAATATTTAGCTTTTAAAATATAATTAATCATCTTTTTATTATAATGTATCTGGTTAAGCAATTTAAGCAATTCACTTTTTTTCCCCAATATAATGAGTAGAATCCTCTTCTAGAGGAAAAATTACCAGATTCTAATCACGTGGGGATGTGGATTTTTTCCTCTCTTGTACACAGTATGTGTATAAGAGAGAAAATTCACGTTTTTTCTCATGATTGGAGTCCAGATGAAAAGCTACGTCCAAACTCTGCAAGTAATAATTCCTCCTAGAGGGCAAGCAATTGAAACGTCAAATATTATTTCTTTTTTGCATTGACATTTTTAGGCTTCGTTTGGGACAATTTTCTTTCTACTTTTTAAAGCAGCTTTTTAGTACAAAAATTTTTAATTTTGAACTAGAAAGTTGCTTTAAGAAGCAGAAAAAAAAAGTTATCATAAACGAAGCCTAAGGCTATGTTTGGGACGACTTTCTTACTGCTTCTAAAAGCAGCTTTTTAGTGAAAAATTAAAATTTTTGTACTAGAAAGTTGCTTTTAGAAGTAGTAAGAAAGCCGTCCCAAACGAAACCTAAGGCTTCGTTTGGGACGGCTAAACGAAACCTAAGGCTTCGTTTGGGACGGCTTTTTTATTGCTTTCTAAAACGGAGTTTTAGTACAATTTTTTTTATTTTTGTAGTAATACTCCGTTTTAGTGGAGTTTTAGTACAAAATTAAAAAAAATTGTACTAAAACTCCGTTTTAGAAAGCAATAAAAAAGCCGTCTGTCTTTCTTTATGCTTCCTAAAACAGCTTTCTAGTACAAAAATTTTTAATTTTGTATTGGAAAACTGCTTTAAGAAGCACTAAGAAAGTCGTCCCAAACAAAGCCTAAGTCTCACTCAAATATATATATAATTCAGAGTTTGCTCAATGATTTGACAAAGCGCTTTTTCGTTGCAGGTTACCAATGTTTTCTTGGAAGGGCATTCAAATCCTCTTGTAAAGATAATTGGTCTGAAGGGCTCAATCTTAGATGAAATAGAGGTTCCTGATTTCAGTTAAAATCCTTCTAAACTTAGTTGAATACAATGACCTGCTCACCAAGTAAATTTGTAAAAGAATCTCTGTTTTGTTAAGGGAACTTTGCCAAGAAATATATAGGGAAGTAATCTACTTTTTGGTGCATGGTAATGACTGGGATCTAGTCACACGTGCACCGTTCTTTTCACATGCGTTAGTTTAATAGTGGGTTGCCTGTACATGTGGGATTTCATTTTTAATTCCGAATATATTATATTTCAAGGTATACATGAATTTGACCAAATGCCTAGGCTCAATCAGCTGGGCAATATTGCCATGCATGTTCTTAATTGCTGAAGTTTTTGAAGGAGCAACATAATAAGGGAATTTCTTATATCAGGATGAAGTTAAGGATCTTGGAGAAATTATTCCGTGCGGAGTTTGGACGGAAAGTTTCCGTTCGGATTATGAGTGTATATACTGTTACAAATAATGTGTACGTAATTTGAACTAAACTATGTAAAAAAATTATACTATGTACACTCACAGTTCGGACAGAAATTTTTCGACAAGACTCTATGTGGAATGATTTCTCATGATCTTGAGTGTGTGGTAACATTATATAACATACTGTATAAATAGTGTGTACATAATTTAAATCAAATTGTGTTCAAACTATGTACAAAAATTATATATAGTATGCACAATTAAATTTCAGACGGAAGCTTTTCGTTCGGATTCCGCACGGAATAATTTTTCAGGACCTTGGGTGGGTGGTAACTTTATATAAAAAAAGATTTTTTTGGTTGATACGATCAATTACTTTAAGATCAATGCTAGCCCAAAAAAATGCAGAAGTAGAAATAATAATATTTGCAACATCACAGCCTTCAAAAAAAGCAAGGAGCTTTGTTAAAATTGTGTCTGAAGTTATTTTTGATATGTAGTGTAGCTAAGAGTTTACCTAATAGGATTTTCTCATGTAGTAAGAATTTGTATTTCAAGCTCTCTGCTACAAGAAATAAATCTCGCTAAAGATCACAAACTTGTGAGAAGTTTTTCCTATAATTTGAATAATTTAATGTACCAAGAAATGATTAAGGCTTTGTTTTTATTATTATTATTTTTTTCAATAGAATTTCTTTTAAAAAATAGCTTTACAAAGAAGGAAGAAAGCTGTCCCAAATGAAATTTAAAAATATATATATCTAGATATGGATACGTATATCTAAATCAATGCTTTAAAAATCGGACTGGCCGGTCCGACCGGTTCAACCGTGAACCGATCTGACAGCTGGTACGGTTCAATCTGAGAACCGGCTTTCAAACAATCATGAACATTGACACATGTCCAAATAGGCATGCATAAATTGCATCCAACCTACTTAAATTCGATAAATTTGGTGTAACCCATAAATTATTTTAGGCCAATCATTTTATAGGTCTAAAAAAATTTTGGAATAAAAAAAATCGATTTAGCTAATCTGATTATAAATATTGCAGGTTTATGAATTAATTAAAATGAAGAACATTTTCATATAAATATACAGAATTTTATTTTTACTTAAAAATTATTTTCATATTTTCTCAAATGTAAAATTAGCCGCAAAACAATGGTCTGTGGACAAAGCTGAAGACAAATATTCAAAAAGAAATCACGGTTTCGTAGACCTGTGCCTGTGATACTGTTCGCGGAAATCTCTGGCAGCTTCCGACATCAATGGAGGACGCTCCCGTTTCGCCAACTCATCGAACGGATCTTCCTGCTCTTCCTCTATCATCTTCTCCTTCCTTTGATTGCTATAATCCCAGGACCCGAATCTCATCGGCGACGGCGAAGGCGACGGTGATGTAGTCAACGTCATCAAGCTTCGATCTTTAGCTGCAATCATGGAATCCTTCTTCAGTGGCGCCGCTCTAAAGCTCGACGGAGACGGCGTCACTGCCATCAAGCTTTTGTCGTTCGAAGCACGCAGGAAAGGATTCTGAAAGCTGGTAGTGAAAGCCTGATTCTTATTAATCGGCGATTCCTGGTTCAAATTTCCCAATTCTTTTGCCTTCGTTCCTTCTCCTTGACATTTGATGCTCAATTCATTCATGCTTTCAAGCAGAGCAAGCTCCCAGTTTTCCGAGTCCATTGAACCTCCTTCATTCCTTGCCGGCTCCAGGATCAGCTTCTTCAGTGGACTTTTAATCTTTGCCGCTTCACCCTCCTTCAATAACTCTTCAAGCTTTTCTAGAAGAGAATCGGTAATCTTGATCAGGCTTGGGTATTCAGATTGCCTTCCGATTCCCATTTTCTTGCATCCGGCGTAGAAATCTTCAATCTCCTTAAACTGCTTCGCCGAGGCTTTGCTCGCTTGGAAAATGTGAGGCCATAAGTCAATGGGGAGATGTAAGAAGCTATCTAGGAGAAATGAGATTCCGTCGGCGATGTCACGGTAAAGGTCGAAGCTTTCGCGGACGACGGAATGGAATGTGAGTCGGACGAGGCGATTCGCCTTGGCTTGACCGGTAGGTCGGGTCCCCATCGCCCGATCGAGGAGGCTCTGCCAATGTCCGATTCGATCCACGAGAACAGAAGGCTTGAGGCTTGAAACAGGGCAGCGGCGCGGGCGCCGCAAAAGCTTGCCTGCAGCGGAAGCTTCCAGCCGAGCGTCAAGGTAGAGCGCCAAGGTGCGCACAAAGGCTGTGAAGTCCCACGGGGAGGACTGCCCGGATTCGTCGCGGAAGCTGGAAAGGTCGAGGAGGCGGCGCCGTCCATCTTCTCCGGTGGCAGCGAGGGCTTCGCGGCGGAAGTCGGGACCGGCGTCGGTGATGCCGCGGGAGATGAGTAACATAGACTTGACGGCGACGATCCAATTGCGGGTGCGGGAGAGTCGGCGGTTGATGGAACGGACGGCCCGTTCCGGCGAGGAGGAGGCGAGGAAGATAAGCTCGGCGACCGTTCTCTCTTCAGAGGGGGAAGGATCGTGTGAGGTGGCTCGGAGAACTGCGACGTGGGTGTCGGAGGAGCCGGAGATTAATGCGAGGCTGAGGCTTGTGTGGTCCTTCACGGCATCGATGGTTCGCCGGAGCTTGCTCGGCATGGCTGTGAAGGCTTGGCGCGTCCGAGCAAGCTCTGGTTTCTCGTTCTAGTTAGATAATGGAATGCCGGAGAGAAAAAGAAGGAAGGTTTGTTTTTCTTCTTTATTAAAGCTCTGGTGCTAACTATTTTTTGAATGGATTCTGGCCGTTGGTTGCTAACGGGGGAGAGAGGAAAACTGAAAGAAGATTAAAGAAAGGAAGAGAGCTTGGTCTAATTCCTGGCCAAATAAAGGTTGTGTAACCTGCATTTCAAAAAAGAAATTTTATAAAAATAAACAAAAATATATATTTTTTATTTTCAGAATGTTAAAAGGCCAGTTTGTATAATATTCAATATTTTTTAACAGGATAAATACAACATATTTCATATTTGGCCAAATAAATTATTTAATCTGCTGCAACAATAATATAAAGTAAAAAAAAAAACAAAAAATTTTATCTTTTTTATTTTGCTTTAAGAAAGCCCATCTTGCTTATTTCGATGGGCCACCAAAGAAAAATGGGGCCTTTATTTTGGAAAGGCCTTTGTTGGGGAATCCCAATTGGAAAAGATTTTTTTTTTTTTTTTTCAAGTTCGTTTGGAGCTTTGTTTTTTTTTTTTTTTTCAAGTTCGTTTGGAGCTTTGTTTTATTGTTGCTTTGCCTAACATACTCCATTGCTACAGTGGTTTGAAAAAAAAAAAGTTTTGAACCTTCTGAAAAACTTCATTTTTATTTTAAATTCTCTTATATTCTAATAAAATTAAATTACAATTATCACTCTTATGTATTTATCAAGAACCTCAAATTTGGTTTGGTTGATATGAATTTAGAAGTTATTAGATTTGTTTTAAGATAAGTGCAATATATAGAGAATCTATCAAAATTAATATTTCTCTCACTAATGAAGTAAATGTCATGACTTTGAAGCTCATCTTCAAAGCTACCCTCCCCCCCACCCCTCACACAAAAAAAAAACTCATTACCAATTTACCGTCCCTATTATTATTGTTGCTATAACACCTATTAATGTCTAAGAAATGCTAGTTAGTTTGAAAATTAGGCTTCGTTTGAGACAACTTTCTCATTGCTTTCAAAAACAACTTTTTAGTATAAAAAATTCTAATTCAAGAAAATTTTTAACTAAAAAGTTGTTTTAAAGCTATTCCAAACGAAGCCTTATACTTCACATTCAACTTATATGACCCAAATGAATGATTTTCTTCCACAGGCAATCGTTTACCAAATTTTATTTGCATTTGATTTCAAAGTGAAATTCCTAAATAGGGGATCACACTAACTCAAAAGATATAAAGTGGCGCCAAAGGGACTGAAAAGATATATATATATATATATATATTCAGTCCAGGGGAATCCTTGGTAAGGTTTTGAAAGGGTCCACATAATGTTGGGCAGCTGCACCCAACCATAATGAGTTTGTGACAGATCATCCTCTAGATAGCTCAAATGAGTTTTCGATTTTTGAGCTGATGAGTAATATACTGGTCTGAAACCAATGACTATCGAGTTGCAATCGATGGGTGTTCTTGTGAACATTTTGATTGTTCGACATGTTTAAGATATGAGGAAGAGGCCATTATTCCGTTATAGAATATAAGGGTATCATCCTATGGATTAATTATTCTATGCGGACGCCGAACACCGTTCGGAAATCAATCAAAATGTGCAGCATCACCTCTTCGCTCTGCTACTAAATATTGAGTCATATCATGCAAAAACCATCTGATGGGCTAGATTTCAAGAATGCATAAATTTGCATTGGACAATTTGCTAACAATTTCACATAAATTAAGTAGCTTTCCACTAAAGCGATGACTATATAATTTGATGCATAAAAACTTCTTTAAAAAAACATAAAATAATCTTTAACACTTGCGTGTCATCTCAATATATTGATGAGCATTTTCAAAATATTTTTTTAATATTCATTTAATCATTTGTTATTACATTCCCTAAATTATCTCTTCTCACCACCCCAAGAGACTTAATACTTCTCTTTTTTAGCCAAATAATCCTCACAATTCAGAAAAAAAAATAAAAAAATAGTCCCCAATCTTCTCCTTTCACATCATCAAAAAGCCATGAAATCCTCAGATTCTGGACCGCTAAATTTAATCATAATAAATGGAATTCTATGGTTCAAATCTTATCAATGATCTTACAGAAAAGATAAGCCGGCCCTCACAATATCAGCACCTTCAATTTGCAACCTTGAAAAGACAGTCAAGATTAAAGAATCAGCCCCATCAGAGTACAGACACACCACCCAATCCAATAATGATCTTGCCAGCCCATGCTCAAGGACCCCAGCAGCCAAGCCCAGCCACCCTATCTCATCACACCCATAAACAGTGAAGCTTATCATAGCCTTGCTGGAGATCACAGTGACATTGCACTCGCTCAAATTTAGGCTTCTTTTGGGCAGTTTTTTTATTGCTAATTTTTAAATTAAAATTTTATTTTAAGAAGTAGGAAGAAAATCGTCTCAAACAAAGCTAGAACCCTTAAAAACATTCCGTGCGTGGCTGTATATATCAATGTGATTAGCTAAGCCAACCTCATTAGTCGGATCTTTGATTTGGTTTGAGAACTTCAATTGAGCTAGAAAATGGCATAAATTTATAACAACTACATACACTACTGACTAATCAATCTTCTACTTCACAGAAATACTAGCCTGCATTGCTGCCCTCTCTAAAGTAGAATTACAAGAGGAAGCCAAAAAAAGTTCACAGCCATGATTTTACACCTTTCTTTACTCAGTATTCTGAGAAATCACTTCACCAAACTTTAGGAAGAGCTGGGCATCGGAGGAACTTTGCGAGGCATTACAGGTCAGAGCAGCAGTGTTCTTGAGGGATGCATACTCATTGATGTAGCTGGGCAAAGTTGATGGCAGTGAGGACTGCAAAGGTGGCGGCTTTGCTGCTCGAGGCAGATTCGGTGTGACGAGGCAGCTTAGTACACGAGCCACCTCATGCATGGTTGGTCGATCGGAGGGCTGCTTCTTGGTGCAGAGGAGAGCTAACTGGAAAACTTTCTTTATGGCACCAAGATCACTGCAAGAGGCAGTAATATCCGGTTCGACGGTCTCCATCACTGCATTATTTGCGGCCTTAGCCAGGATCTGATCCATTAAAGGAAAGATATTTATTGCACTTACAATAAGCACTTAATGAATAATACAATAAAGGAAATGAACTTGCAGCAGAACTCAGAAAGATAAGGTTACACGAGTATTTAATGCATTTGATCAATAATGGCTGTGACTCAAGATATTACTAGGACTACCATCTGCAAACTAAGAGCTTTCACTGCGATTGTTCAAAAATAAAGCAGCTTGATCACAAAAAATGGAACTTCATAATTAAAAATGAATAGAAAACAACCCAGATAACAGATTTAGATGAGGTAAGGATCTCCATAATCCTGGACGAGGATGAGTAGTGCGCTATGAATTTTTTCTGACTCGGTTATCATAGTAAGCCAAGTGGAGTGGAAAAGCGTGAATCATTAAAACAAAAAAGAGACGGTGGGTAGGAAATCTGCAAAGTTTTTCCAAAGCTCCTTACTACTAGAAGTTTAAAAGAGGAAATCTAGATTACGCTTATATTCATAGGAGTATCATTACCAGCTGGTGCAGGTTGCATTCATTGTCCACTGCCTTCTTCCCAGTGAGGAGCTCAAGAAGGACAATTCCATAGCTGTAAACATCAGATTTCTCATTGAGACGGGAAGTCCTGGCATACTCAGGATCAATATAGCCGATTGTACCCATCACATAAGTGGATGTGTGTGCCTTGTTTACACACAAGCTCTTAGCTATACCAAAATCAGTGAGATGAGCCTCAAAATCTTTGTCTAGAAGGATATTTGAAGACTTAACATCCCTGTGAATGATCCGGGGACTGCAGTCATGGTGAAGATAAGCCAGCCCTTGGGCTGCTCCACAGGCTATTTGCAACCTTGTTTCCCAGTCAAGCTTTTTCTTCTTCAAAGGACCTTTGTTAACAAAAAAAAAAAAAGAAGAAGTGAATTTCATGTTTAACTTTTGAAAAATAAGTTGAATCACCCTATTGATGCAAGGAAGAATTACCATGGAGAAGATCCCAGAGGCTTCCATTCTCCATATAGTCATAAAAGAGGAGGTTACCGAAAGGCGATAAGGAGTATCCTTGGAGGCTAACTAAATTTCGATGTTTGATGCTTCCTATCGTCTCCAATTCCGTCTCAAATTCCTTGACGCTTTGGGGGTAATGCGAGTAGAGCCGCTTGATGGCTACTGGCCTGCAGTTCTTAAGCACACACTTATAAACTGTGCTTGACGCTCCATATCCTATGATATATTTCTCACTTAAGTTCTCAGTCATTCTCATCACATCATCATAGAGATGAAGTGCCATGTTCATGTGTAGGATCACTAGTTTTGGCGAAACATTAGAAACTGCAACCATGAAAATTATTCCAGCTTATATTTTTGGGATACTTCGAGCTTACATGGTTTAGAGTATATAAAGCATTCTGAAACTACCTGGTTTATGCAAGGGGCTATCAGAAAATGATGGCGGATTGTGTGGTTTGCATGCGGCAAACAAAATCATTAGAAGGATGACTAGACCTCCCAAAGCAATTCCCAAAATCGCAGCTTTGGAAATCGTCGCTGCATACAGGAAACAAAATGTTAAGCTACTGGTTACTAAAATTTTACCAAGCAAAAAATAGAACAAGTATCAGTTATTTTATAAGATAATGAAGTTTCATTATGGCTTTGCTTACTTTTCTCTGGTGCTTTAGAGAAATGACACTGTGAACCAGGCCAATAGCCACATAGACCAGGATTACCTATAAAGCTGCATCCATAATGAAAGATATTTCATTAGGGACCAAAGTGTTAGAATAATTAAATATAATAATTATGCGAGATATTGCAATAATTATTTATATATTTAGTTATATAAATCATTAAATGATCCATATATTTGAATTATTGAAATTTAATTATTTATATGAAATCCTATTAGTCAAAAAGAGATAATTTGATCAATTGTTTATATACTATTTGATCAAATAACTCCTACAAGCGATAATTATAACTAATCCATAAGAAATAACTACTGGTCCTCTCTCTCTGTCATTATGAGGAGTTAGTTTCTTCCATAGAGAATTAACTAATGAAAGAAGAAAGAGAAAGGGAAAAAGAAGAGAAACCATAGATCAGAATTCAACGAATTCAATATGAATCAAGGTATATTTTCTTCCGATTATAATCTTGTGAAAATCATCTTGTTTAAGATCTTGTGGATTTAAAACTTATGTAAAATCATGTTTTTCGTTTGATTTCTTTTACATAATTTGAAATGCGAGTTCTTGGAAGAGTTAGAGAACTCATATTACATGTTGTGAGTTCTTGTAAGGAAGTGAAAATTTTAATCCTATATGAATAAAGTTCTTGTAAGAATTAGAGAACTCTTAATATTACACAAAGAAGACAAAAATAGCAGGATAGAAAATAAAGCATTTGAAGCTGAGATTCAGCATGTTAATGAAAAGAAAATAACCAGAGACAGATCATAAGCGATAATTCATTTACCTTTGGGGCGAGAATCGGGAAAAGTTATCGGAAGTTGGGACATCTCCAACCAAATTGTTGTAGGAAACATTTCTGTAGAAATTATACATACATGATTAACATGTTGAAAATGGAACCGTTATGGAACTTGCAGACAGGACTTACAGAACAGAAAGGCTGAGGCAGTTGGTTAGAAACATTATATCACCAGATAAATTGTTGTGTTCGATTCTCCTGCAACAATTTAAAATCCAGATATCTTAGCAATTCTCGTGAATGCAAGTCCATTCAATCAAGCATGTATAAAACCACAGATAGTCTTACAACAGCATGAGATTTTGTAGCAATCCAAATTCCTGGGGAATCAAACCAGAGAGATGATTGCTTGATAGATCACTGCATTTTCAATCCCAAAGTTTTGGGTAGTTATTAAAATTACGAGAGGGACAAACAGTTTCTGCACGGAAAAGTAGCTTTTCAAACTTTTAGCTATTAGTCAGACTTCTTACATCTCCATGATACTCCTCAAGTTTCCGAGTTCCGGCGGTATGTAACCAAAAAGATAATTGTTGCTCAAATTTCTGGAAGTTAAAATATTAAAACATCATAATGAGAAGAAAAGAATGATGAGAGGGTACATTATTGGTTGTATAACATACAGTTTGAGAAGATGTTCCAGATCACCAATGGAGGAAGGAATCGGGCCACTGATCAGATTAGATGATATGTCACTGTAAGTGTTAAACCACATTAGTAAGCTTCGACGTCAACTACCGATTTGGAAACATAAAATCAATCATGGATTGGTACTTACAGTGTATCCAGGTTCCCAATTCTTGATAGTTCAATAGGTATGGGACCCTTCAGGTTATTTGCTGATAGATTTCTGCCAGACAGAGAAGTACAATATTACTGAGGCATTCAAGATACCCAACATTTTCAATGTGCATTATACACAAACTAATTGTCAAACCATGGAGAAAATATTAGGCCGGTTCACCCCGAACAAGCCCAGCTGGCCCAAGGGCCAGCTCAGCTCTACTATAGGAGGCGGAACATGTCCGCCTCCATGTATCTTGCCCGCCCACATTGAGGGCCCCACTAGTCCAAATAAATTCTAATTGAAAAGGAGAGGGCGGCTAGGGCTTGGGAGGGAAATTAGATTAGAAAAGTTTTTGTATTAAAGAGCATGAGATGTTTAGATAGGCATTATGTTTGGATTTGTTCTCAATTAGAGTTTCTTGGCGACTTGAGCTCTAGGCTCTCTTGTCTAGAGATTTGGGAGAGGCGATCCTCCTCTCGAATTGAGGATCTCTTGTATCTTCTTTTCCTTATTGATTTTCTTTGATTTACCTACCGCAATATATTGTTTTGGGCTGTTTTCACCCAGACTTCGCATGATTCTCGCTGATTTTCACCAATTGGAGATAGGTTTGCTTGCGAACTCAAGTATCACCCTTACGGTTACTTGCGAACTCAAGTATTTCCTATCAGAAAACTGATCGATTCTAAAAAGCCAATTTATGTGTACCAGTATGATTGTAAAAAGAGTAAACTCACAAATATGTCATGCTCTCCAGATTCTTAAATGAGCGTGGGATGGTACCATTGAGCTTGTTACCATGAGCATTCCTGTAGAAACAGAAAAGTATTATCAACAATATCAATGAATAAGCATGGCTAAAAAATATACATTGATGCTTACAAGCTATTCAAGTTCAAACAGGAGCTCAAGTTGTCAGGAATTGGCCCTTCGAGATAATTGTTCGCAATGTTCCTGAATCAATAAGTTGAATTTTTTCAATAAACTTACTAAGGGATAATCTCAATAAAGGACTGAAAGGAGTTCCTAGCTTAAAAACTAAATGGCAATCTGCAAGAGCATACAGGTCGAATAAGTCTGTTAGCTTCCCAAGTTCAGTTGGAATGCACCCCATAAGCTGGTTATCATTTATTTCCCTGGATGATTACAGAATTTTATGTGGAGATGAATTGATTTAATTTCAAAGATGGAGCTTCTGAAGATTATTACTCACAAGTAATGCAGCCTTGTCATGTTACCAAGCTCAGGTGGAATTAACCCGGTCAATTTATTTCCCTGCAAGTACCTGGATATTTACAGCAATATAAATCATGTCTAAAATATCCATTGAGCAAATATAAGAAATAGAATAAAGAAAAGTATGAACCTAAATGCATGATAGTTGCATGGTTGGATCATGGGGGTATTCAACTACGAGATGTAGAAGTTTTTTGGAGTGGGAGCACGATAACAAAATTATTGTAGAAAGTCCAAGATCCAATTCAAGTAGAATATCCTTCATTCATATTTAATTTTGAAGGTATATTAATCACATAAATTTTTTTGTAATCACTACCATTTCAATGCCTAATATTAAATACACAGAATTTAATTAAAAAATAGTAATCTAGGATTTATAGTACATCATTGTAGTTAGCTCCAAATATTAGAAAGGGAATATAAAAAAAAGTGAAAAGCATCAAAAGCAAACCACCTTCAAAAGCTCCTTCCAATAGATTTCTCGCTTGTTGGGATACCGAGTAATAAAAGGTTGTTTGTAAAAGTTAAAAGCGAAGGAGAAAATAAGAGAAGATGGCCTTCTAGGCGGCCAACAAAACACTGACAGCAGATGGACAATAGCTCCAATGTTTTCTCAATGGCTCTAACACCTTGCGCGCTAGAGATCGCTTACTTACCACCCTAGTTATTCCCTATACTCGAAAACATCCAAGTATTTTGCAAACCTATCAATCCCAATTTGCAAATTAAGTAGAGGAAAGATTGGGCTGAATCACCCGATTGGGTAACTCAATGGACCAGGCTTGAGCCAAAGGGAGCATGAGCCCCAATGCCAATAATGTGAATCTGCCCTTGATTGAAACCTGTTAAATCTTTAGGAGTTCTTGAGTGCTTGCAAGAGAGTGGGAAAGAGAGAATGGATGACATTGACAAGTTTTAGATGAGGAAAACTAACCTAAAGCTTTATTTCAATTTTCCCCAAATTATACATCAGCCTATAATGCCTATAGATAGGCATTTACATTGTTGTGATAACTTGCAAGAACAACCTAACTAAAACTAGACTAACATCTCACAATCTCCGCCTTGGTCCAAATTTTAAAATCAAAGAACCACTTGTGCACCAATTGCGATCTAACTGGCTTTATGCACTAACTCCAAGAGCAATCATGTTGATCAATCCGCAACTTGTGTGACAACTTTCCACTGCAAGCCCTCGCAAGTGCAGGTTAATCAGCAGTATTGCTAGTGCAGAGACATGCGTGGGATTCGTGCAGGTGGAGGCCGTGCGGGGCACGTGAAAGCGCACGAGGCTGGGTCGTTGGTTGAGTGAGCGGACCGAAGCAAGCAGGGTCGCGATTGTACGGGCTATAGGCGGAACAAACGAAGGTAGTCTGAAGCTTGGGCAGAGGCTGAAGGGGTTGTTCGGTCGAGCTGGTGTAGGTGTTCAAAAAAGGCATGCGGACGACACCGGGTCGGGCACAAATGAGGTAGAAGGTAGAGAATCTTATTTTGGAGGTAAGGGAGGAACGACAGAGATATTGTTCTTGTTAAAAAATATGGTTAGATCTTTTGAGGTGGAGCTTCAAGGTCATTTGGCTAGCTGTTGTGTGTCAGAGCAGTGGATCAAAACATGAAAGATCAAGAACATTGGGGCGACAGGTCGCGGACTCGGAATCGAACAGGTGCAGTGCGAGATCGCAAGTTGGAGCACGCATGAGTGTTCGAGGAAGACCCGAGTCAGTGCTGGAGTGTGGTTGGAGCCGTGGATTGGAACGCACGGTGGAGGCCGTTCGCGAGCGGGAATGGGCTCGGTTCTGCGGGATTGCTCGCGGAGTTAGTGCAAGAAGCCAGTTAGATTGCAGTAGGTGCACATGTGGTTCTTTAATTGTAAAACCTAGACCAAGGTGGAGATTGTAAGGTGTTGTTCAAATTTTAGTTAGGTTGTTCCTGCAAGTTATCACAATAATGTAAATGCCTATATATAAGCATTATAAGCTGATGTATAATTTTGGGAAAATTGAAATAAAGCTTTAGGTTAATTTTTCTCTAAAATCTGCCATCCCTTATTTCTCTCCCTCTCTCTTGCAAGAAGCTCAAGAAGCTCTCAAGTATTCCTCTAAATTTCTAAAAACCCTACATATCTCTTCATCACTACAATATTAGATTATTTAACAAGCGAAACTATTACATGTCAATGAGTACACTCTAGAATCATTTCATCAAAGAAGATAGAGCTATTAGAAATAAGCTTAATAATAGAGGAACTAATAGATACGCTCGTGACTATTTAAAAGGGTTTTGATTCAAACAAGTTGAGTTAACATTTTAAAACTAGAAAATATGAAATTGTGAATTACAAAACTATTTATTGTCCTAAATATTGCTTACCCCTATCGAAACAACAATCCAAAATATATTATAATATTACGAAGTGCATGAAATTTGAGCCCAAGACCTTCGGTATAAATTTCTAAAACTTTGATTGTGATTATGAAGGAAAGAGGTACAACATAAATATATTAGAATTTCATTCACAAAATTTTAAATTAATTATTTAAAATCTTATAACCTAAAAGTACCATTAAAGATTATTAAAATAATGGTTTCATTCTAAAAAAAGAAAAAAATAATGGTTTCATTCTATAATAAAATAATATTAATATTAGATCATTTACATAATTTTAAATTAACTAATTTAAATTTGCTATAACCAAAAAGTGCTATTAAAGAATATTAAAACTTTTGCTTTTCCTACAGGAGGAGGTTTGAAGTCATATGCTTAAGAAATTTTTCCTCAACATTTCAAAAAAAAAAACATTAAATGATGTTAAAAAAAATTATTCTTGAGATATATGCATATTTATACACAATAATTATAAACTTGTTATTTTGGATGATTATTAATCAAAAGACAATCCATCATTATAATATTTTGAAATAATTAAGTAGTTCATTTATATTTTGAAAATATGTCAAACACATATAAAGATGTTTCCTAAATTTCAAGCCCATTTGTTTTTGAAATCTTAAACCAAAATTCAGCTAAACTAATTTTTCTACACTTGCATCTTATTTTCTAAAAGTAAAATAAAATATAATAAACCAATCAAAAGAATTCCAAACAAAATCAAAAGTTTATACAAAATACAATATTTCCAAATGATCATGAACTTACAGCTTCTCAGTGTATGTCAAGTTACCCAATATTGGAGGAATTGGTCCACTTAGGAGGTTACAACTCAGATCTCTGCAGCATGAAATTTAAACAAAGATGCAACAAACCTCATTAAAATAGTTATCAAGTTACACTGAGAAAAGCATTGCATCGTCTTATCAAATTAAGAACCTGAACTAACAATAAAAAGTAATCAAGTACTTGAACAAACATAATACTTCAAAAAAAAAAATCAAATCTTGCTAATTGACTTACAGAACTGCAAGAGCTTGCATTAGCCCAATAACAGAAGGAATGGGTCCTGTAAACTTGTTATTTTGCAATGATCTGATAAAGCATTAAAAACATGGGACAAAAAGATTAGTAAGAATTTCCTCAAGATATCAGAGATCCAAAGAATCCAAACAACGAAAATAATAGAGCATACAAAGTAGCTACTTGCAAAAACCCAATATTGAAGGGAATCTCTCCAGTAAATTGATTGTATGACAAATCCCTGCAATCAAAACAAGTCTGGAGTAATTCGTTGCAGTCCTAGTTTTGTAAGATTTGATTCCTTAGGGAATTAGGAAACTTACAAAACTTGAAAGCTTGTACAGTTACCGATACTTTGAGGTATGCTCCCAGTTAGGCTATTGTTCTTTACATCACTAAAAGTTCAAGAAATTCTACCAATAAATACATATTTTCATAATCATAGAAATGTAAAGACTTGTGTTCATTAAACACTCACAAGTACCACAGCCCTGTCAACTGGCACATATCAGGAGAAAGGCTTCCATCCAAATTGTTTCCTCTCAATCCACTAAATAAAATATCTGTCAATTAGTTTTAATAAGATATTACATATTCTATGGTAATAAGATTACTACTCACAGGTACTGCAACACTTCATTCCAGTAAATAAGCCTGGGTATTTCTCCACTCAAATTGTTCTGCGCCAGGTCCCTGAGACAGTACTAGATTCCTTTGCAATTCATTCAAATTTCTAGAGATCTGATAATAATTAAAAAAATAGTATACATACAAAATTTTCAAATTAGGAATTTGAGAAAGGGTTGAGGGGATGGGTCCTGACAACTGGTTGCTCTTCAAAATTCTGAAAAAGATCAAAGAAAGGTATCACAAAAAAAAGAAGAAGCAAACAAGGAAATTTATATCACAAGGCTTACAGGGTCTCCAATTTCTTTAATTTTGATATGGAAAATGGTATATCTCCATGGATGTTATTAGATGACAAATCCCTGAGGTACACAAGAAAATGCCAGAGCATTTAAAACATAAAACAGAAACCCAAACCACGTTGTGAGGTTCCATTTATAAGGATTAAACTCACAATATCTTCAATGAAGAGCAATCACCAATCTCATCTGGAATTTGGCCAGAGAGCCGGTTGGATTTTAGGTCACTGTCCCAACAAAGAACAAGAACAAATTCCAATTAAAGACTAGCAATGCATAAAAGCGGAAAACTTTGTAAGATGAGAATATAGTTATACATTGAGATGAGGCTTTTGAGATTCCCAATTGCTGATGAGATCTCCCCATCAAGGTTTAAGCCAGACAGGTTGCTGAGTTTAAGATAGAAGGGTAAGGTCCATAAACTGAAAAGAGATTATTACGTGCAGTGTCTGGACTGTCCGGAGGCGAATCCAGACACGCCACATCACCTGGATGCACAGGGCCACGTCTCCGAAAGAATCTGGACACCACACGTAATAATTTTCCCATAAAATGACCCTATGAAGCATAAAGCTTCTTAGTGCTAAAACGTCAAATTAAATCATTCTCACAGTGAAAGGACATCAAGATTTAAGCTGTCACAAGTGATTCCTCTCCAAGAGCAAAAGTCTGAGGATGTTGCGTTGGTCCAATCATACAGAATGTCATCAACATTGCTAAACAATTTCTTGATTTCTAATAATGTTGATCCTGGAAAGGAAAGTTTTTTATCAGCCATCTGAAAAAAAAAAAAAAACTTTTTTTTCGATGAAAGGAGTTTTATGTGCAAAATATTTAAAATATTTGCCTCCAGCTTCCAATATCTTTAATAACTAAGCTAGTTGGCACCACACCAATAGAACTTCAAACCATCTCAAATCGATTTCAGTTAAAAGGGTATAATGGCTGAGTTAGCAAAAATTCAAATTTTGAAAAAGATTTTTGTGGCTGATGTAGTCAGGCAGAAGTAACGGTGTCAAACCATGCGCAGAGATGAAAGAATTTGTAGCGTTACAAATCTGATCCTTGAAAAGATAAGACATGCACTATGTAATGTCTATTATCAAAATCAAATGGTTACTCCAGCTGAGATAAAATTTTCTTAAAAAAGGACAGATTTTGAATAAACTTCTTTTACTAATTGAAGGTGGAAAATCTAAAATAGTTCAGTAGAGACTCTGAAAGATCTAAACAGGGTGGATAGCTTTAACCATAAAAACAAGAAAGCAAGGAAGTAACCCACGAACAAGGGAGAGCATGTTCTTTTCTTTACATTTAGATATAAAAAAACCAAAGAGTCGAAGGAATGAGAAAGTAGCAACAACGCAGAACCAAGTACAGAATCCCCAATAAAAAACTAAGTAAACGCAATCAGGGAACAGTATAAAGAACATTATTATAATAATGCTAAGCTAAACAATCTACGGCTCTACGGCTCGATTAAAAAAATGGAACATAAAGCTAACCAAGCATAAACAAAGATGTCTACAAAAGCTCCGGCGACCTCACCGTCGTTCACAGGCGTTTTCCCGCCGCCAGCGAAGCAGAAGCCCTCAGCGAGAAGCAAAGCAAGAACAATACCTAACACAACCCTCTCGCCCTCCATTGCTCACTGAGATGAAACGCAATAAAGGTAAAGCATTGCGGGGCAGAAACCTCAATGGCGCTCTTGAGAAGAATCCGAAAGAGGCACTTCTTGTCACATCAGCTTGACAGTGTCCGTCTCTTATAGAACCCAAAACTCCCCCTTTCTTTGCTCTTCCTCACTCTAGAACTCTATTTTTCCTCTAAAGACTAAAGAGTTCTCTTTGAAGTTCTCTCTTTTAGGAGTCCTCTTCATCATTTTCCTCTAAGGAGGTATCGCTACATGCGCCTTTTGCATTCTGGATTCACAGGGTTCTATTGGGCTCATTCCTCCTTGCCCACAACTCCATGTGCCTCTCTATGTTTCTCTCCCTTCTTCAACTCTCCCTGCTTCTCTCTCTTTCTATCTCTTCTGTAAAAAGGAGGTATAAGTTTCTCTCACATAGTTAATCTTTCTTTATAAAGAAAGGTGAAGATGCAGGTATGGAGCATAGCAGAGAGTGGCAGAGCTTGAGCCTTTTCAGCTTCCACTCTCCCTGGTATCTACCATCTAGTAACTACAAGGAATTCGATAATCACACAGCTTATTATTTTAGTGGTGCTGTAGAACATAAGCCTTCTGCGCGTGACTTCTACTAGAAATGAAAGGAGTGGTGTGTGTTTATCTGCAGATCTAACCAGGTGGTCCAGATGGCTTGTACGATGGGCGGGCTGTGTTGCTGGCTCCTGTTTGGAACTGCGTCCATTTGTAGGAAGAAAAAAATTGATATCCTCGTTTTAACGGATACAGGAGACGAGCAATGAAAGAAAATAAAAAATAAAAAAAATAATACATAAAATACTCAAAATTTAATGTAAATGTTATCCAGTTTTTTTATGAGAGAATTTTTTTTTTCAAAATTTTAAAACAATGGATGAATTCTGTTTTGAACGAAAGTTATCTTCAAAATTATGAATTTTTATTTTTTTTAATAAAATATTTTTATATAAAAATATCATAAAAATCTTATATATTATAATTATTGTAATAACTTCTAATTAACATGTATAATAAATTTTAACAATCACTCTTTTCTAATTATTTCAATTTTAAATTAAATATAAATATTAATTTGAAATAAATTAATAATATAAGACAATTGATGCTTTTCTATAATAAATAAGATTCCAAATCTATCTAACAATCCTTGTTTGGCTCAACTCATTGAGCAAACAAATCAAAAATATATATATTTTGTTCTATTCATTATCTTATTGGGTTGTACACAAACTATTTTTACAAATATAATCTCCATTAAAATTCATTTGTAAATTATAGAATCTTCATGTTGCCCCTCATAAATAGACATATTAATAAAAATATAAATTTATGAATAGGAACATCCCTTTTTTTTTCTTTTTTTTTTTTGCACACTTACATTTTTAGTATATTATTATGCATATATAAATATAATCAACTCATTGTAGAGCCGATTATGGCCAAATATACATTGCACTTGTTCAACTCACTAACTATATAAAATAATAAAAATTGGTAGAACTCGTGCTACTTATTACCTGAACAATTTCAAAAATGAACTAAGAACTTTTTTACAACTCTAGTTTGAATGATTGATGCAAATTATATGCGCAGCATGATCTCTAGTGTAATTGAATTGGCTAAGTTGATGAGGTATTATATGTAAGAATTGAATCAAATGGCACATGAAGGGATAAGAAAGGTCTAGAATTTAATTAAAGATGAGAATCTGAAATGACTACTTCATAGCTCAACATTGATCATAAGATGATCTAATACCTATGGAAGTCATGTAGTAACATCAAGGCAATTACATAGTTTGCATAACCTTCTTGTTAAGCTCAGCAAAGGCTCAACCTAATTCTGATGAATGCCATCTTAAATATTTAAGAATACAATCTTTGCAAGCATGGAGCAATTTCACAAACAAAAATAAAAAAATATTGGATAAAGTTTATAAATTAAAATATCATTTATAAAAAAGGGAGAATTCATCTTCATGTTATCATAATGTTTAATAATAAATGGGATGAGGGATTCACAGTAACTTCCTAAGGGATAATTCTTCTTTATGAAGGAGATTAGTCGAGATAGAATCCTATAAATATCCTAAACTACGTAATAAAAATATTTTTTCAGCCCGCATATTTGGCTTAAAAAGGAAGAAAATAAACATCTTCCTCTATATCAAGAGTCATATAATAGGACATCATATATTCTATTACGTACCTAAATCTCTCTTTATCTCTCACCATTTGTTTTACTTATATTCACAATTTGCCTCTCCTTAAATTAATCAACTTAATATGCTTACCCTTTTAACCCTCTAAAATCCCAAACCTAGTCGTAAGACTGATCTATGATGCTCTCATGAAGATCAATTGAGGTTATAAAAAAGATAAATACGTTATCTTGACGATAGAAGAGGACCTTTCGTCCAATGTAAAAAAGAAAATTAGTAGTTGCTTATTCGAGTTTGCTAATTACATAGTGTGTGGTAAAAGCATTATGTAATATGATCCAAAATAATTTGCATCGTAAACTACCATTAGGAGATTAGTTATTATCGTCACTTGTATATAATAGGTGTATGATAAAGTTATTTCCAATAGATAAACTCTACATGCACAAGTTAAGCCAACATTTACTAGCGATGAAAGGGAGGGATGGGGAAATATTAATTCTCATAATTAAAGTTTGACTAAAAATGTTGACAACCTAAACCTCAAACTAAGGTACTAATTAAATTGGGAATAAGGATTTTATTCTTATGTGTTCATCCCACCTCACAAATGTCTCTCATTTATGTGAATATTCTTGATGAGTTGTTTTTTTTTTTTTTTTTTTGGGAGTTTTTTTTTTTTTTTTTTTTTTTTTGTAGAAACTTGATATCATTTAATTGCATAATTACAGTTATTTAACTAAACCAACTAAATATTTTATTGGATTCAAGACAGTGATGTCCCATGATGCAATATATGAGCGAGGTAATTAAGTATCAAATCTCACTCATGAACTTGAAAGATGAAGCTTTGCTTGTTCTATAATATTCAACCCATAAGTATCACCTTTTATGGGGAGTTTTTTTAACTTTGTTACTTTATTCTCTTGTTCCCAAAAGGCGTAAGGCAACTTCCAAGATATCCTTTATCTTGAGAAGCACAAGGGCAAGTATCTCCTTGCTTATATAATTATATGGGTTCGTCCAGGAATATTTGATATAGATTTTCTTCATTATAAAATAAATTTAATGTGAGAAATGAAGGATGATTGTTTCAAATATACATTTGCTAATACCTCACTTAAGCCAATGCCTAAGTTACTAATTAAAAAATATGAGTAAATATATTAATGTTGAGTAGATGACTTAATATTTCAAGCTAATTTCTTTGCATCTAATATAACATAATTGAAGAGTGAAAATAAGAAGCACCAGAATAATGCCCATTAGAGAAGGAATAAATGACAAAATAAATTGCCTTTAGTTCTTATCCAAGAACAAATGAAAATTTAGATTTATTCAGAAGTTATCTATTTAAATTTGACATGTTGATATATTAATAATAAAATTTGATAAAGGATATATAATTCAATACGGCAGGGAAAAAAATAAGTATAAAATCTGAAGAGGAGAGAGAGGACACAACCCAAAGGAAGGAAGATATGAAGTTTCTAAGTAACCATACTTCTAATTTAAGAATATCTTCAATAATGTGTCAAGGTTATAGTAAACTTCATATGACAAAATAATTGAAATTATGTATAAAATGTTTAAGACTAACTAGAAAAGGCATAATATATCTTTGTTATAAGAAATAAACTTGCTTAAAGGTACTTTAAAATATGAAAAATAGGGCCATGATTTTGATTCCAAATATTAAGGATCTCTAAAAAATGAGTTGATTTATAACTTTGATTGAATCCAAAAAATTATATTTAACTCAAAATATTACACATGCATAGATAGATGAGTTGAGAGTAGCTCCTATGACACCTGAGATCTTTTTTTTTAACATGAAAATTTCAATAAGGAGAAAAATCATTAGTTATGACTCAATTGAAATGATTTTGATAATGTAAATGATATATATATTTCAAATGTTGTACTTCCTCATAATTTATGAGGACACCAATATAATATAACATGCATAAACTTTAGAAGATGGGTTTTATAGTAGAATGATTAGGAACTATACAATGTCAAAATTCATTAAGAGATAATCGAGGGTAGTGGCTTGCTTGTTTATTATCTTTTTATGATATCCAAATTATTTTTATGTGTCAAAGAAACTTAATATGTGTGTGTGTTTCTTTCTTTTCATCTTAAAAAGTTATGAATTTTCATCTTAAAAAATTATGAATTAATTTTCTAGATGATTTAAATATATAATTATTTATAATTTATAATAAAATTACAAATAACCTATATTCTCAACAGACAAATATGTCTAAAATAATTAAATAATTGAAAAGACAATTAATTTGAAAATACTTTAATATTTTTCTATTAAAATATTAGAAAATGAAGGAAAATACCTCATCCAACAATTTTAAAAATCAAATATATCAAATTCTTAGATCAAATATTTCAAGTTGTAATTCAAGGGACAGCATTGGCTTGAATGAGAAAAGTCATTAGGCCTGATATAATTACAATAATTATATTAGCTAGTGTGAATCAATTATTATAAAAGATGATATCCTCTTTGTGATATGAAATAGTATTAATATAATGTTATATAAGTAAACTATTTAATAAAACTTTTATTGTAGCTATAGGAGTCAATCTAGCGAATTGAATCAATCCAAAATTGATATTGTTGAATCAATCTAGCGAATCACAATATAGAGATTACATGTTTATTGAAAATATAGTTTAATTGGCCTTGAAATAAATTCCTAAACTTTCTAGCTAGCATAAATTCTTGGATGTTTCAAGATATAAAAAAAATTATATCAAAATTCATGCTCGATAAATTGAATTTTTGCAACTTTTTAGATGCAATTTTCAACTATTTTGAAAAGTTTTGAATTAACATTTTCAACAAATTTTATCTTAAACAATATGCCGACCTCATTGAAGAGTGTATGAATGAGAAAAAAGTTACATAGTTTACGATCATAAGTAAAAGTCATGCTAATATTCAAAGTGGTCACATCGGATAATGTTCCAAAATTTATGACCATCCTATTTTCAAATTTACATATTTTCACATCTAAAAATAAGGGAAATTGTAATTCGTTTGATTAGAGATGAATTTTGATGCATTATTTTTAGATCAATGTGAAGTTACTATTAACTTATTTATATATGTAAAATTTTAATTATAATATTTTGTTTTTAGTGATGCGGAATTGCAGATATATCAGCACCAACACTCTCACCCTTTTTTTTTTTACGGTGTTGTAAATGGACATAGAAGCCAATATCACAAAAAAATTAACCGTTATTATTTCTAATATTATATTTAAATTTTCTACTCTCCTACAATCCTTATCTTTGTCGTTAATTCAAAAAAAAAACATATTAAAACATTCATTTTTGTTTCCTAACCCAATAATAGCCGAAAGTGGGGCCCACCATGAAGCCAATGGCCCACCGGACCCACCAACCTGAGCCACTGACACGGATCCATTATTGGGGAAATTATTCGTCTGTCGATCGGTGGCGGTAGGCGGTGGGGA